CTTAGTCTCTTTTTCTCCAGGCTAAACAATTCCAGTTCCCTCAGCCACTCCTTGTAAGACTTGTGCTCCAGACTGCTCACCAGTTTTGTGGCTCTCCTCTGGACATGTTCCAGCAATGCAACATTTTCCTTGTAGTGAGGTGCCCAAAACTGAACACAGCTGCAGCCTCACCAGTGGCAAGTACAGGGGGACAGTTGCTTTCCTGGTCCTGCTGGCCACACTGTTCCTGATATAAGCCAGGATGCCATTGGCCTTCTTGGCCACCTGGGCACACTGCTGGCTCATATTCAGCCGGCTGTCGACCAACACCCCCAGGTCCTTTTCTGCCAAGCAGCTTTCCAGCCACTCTTCCCCAAGCCTGTAGCATTGCATGGGGTTGCTGTGACCCAAGTGCCGGACCCGGCACTTGGCCTTGTTGAACCCCATACAACAGGCCGCAGCCCATCAATGCAGCCTGTCCAGCTCCCTCTGTAGAGCCTCCCTACCCTCAAGTAAATCAACACTCCCACCCAACCTGGTGTCATCTGCAAACTTACTCAGGGTGCACTTGGATCCCTTTGTCCAGATCACTGATAAAAATATTAAACAGAAATGGCCCCAGTACTGAGCCCTGGAGAACACCACTTGTGACCAGCTGCCAGCTGGATTTAACTCCATTTACCACAACTCTTTGGGCCTGGCCATCCAGACAGTTTTTTACCAAGAGAAGAGTACGCCCATCCAAGACATGAGCAGCCAGTTTCTCCAGGAGAATGCTATGGGAAAGGGTGTCAAAGGCTTTCCTAAAGTTCAGGTAAACAAAATCCACAGCCTTTCACCCATCCACTAAGTCCACTTACTAATCCGCTTTGGTCTGGGCTGCTGTAGTATACAGCATTTACTGGTCCTCTTGAACATCATTTGCAAAGTATGAACTGCTCATCCTCAAAAAGGGGTTCAGATTTTCTGCACCCAATTTGGTGTATGCAAGTTATCTTCAGTGAGTTATGTAGTTTGTCTACAAACAGAAAAAAACTGGCACTCTGCTGAGATTCAGTACTGAGACTTCTGAACCATCACTGAAAAAAAGTATAGACAAAACAAAACCATTTCAGGACAGGTGCTGAAATGTCAATAGCATCATTGCAGTTAGTCTGTCATGCTTGTAATAAGAGTCTGTCCCTACATGTTTTTGCAATGCTGCAAAACTACTCAAGTACCATTTCAGTTGCACTTGATAGCACTGCTCTTGAATGCTTAGCTCTGTGTAGCAACTCATCCTATTTTATCTTGGCCTGATACAGATAAAAACATCTGTGAGATAGCTGCAACTAATAACCACAGTTCCACAATGTTTCTAGCATCTCCCCAGTGACCAAACCCTACAACTACTCTTGCAATAATTTTTTTTTTGAGCTACACCGTATACATTATCAGTGGAATATTCTGCTTTAGAGATGCAAAGGATATTTTCTGGCAGATGTTCTAATTTTGAAACATTCTTGCAATGTTGGTATCATTTAACCACTACAAAAGTCCTTTTATTGGCAAATATTTGGGGGTACCTTCCAACTGCAGACAGCAATTTTCACAAAGGTGCCTACCCTGCAGAAATTCAAGGCTAGACACCCACAATGCAGTTTTACCAGCACTGACTGGGAAGCCTGATTGAATGGGACGACTTTTACCTACCAAACAGCATTGATGCACCCTACTTACAATGACCGAAATAAATCACAGTAATTTAAAACCGTTCAAACCCACATTTTAGGTAAAACCACTGAAGCTTTTTATAATGATGATGGAAGCTATGTTATTCCATACACACAAACAGTTAAATCATTTGGAACATTACCTGAGGGAGATTTGCTGCCGACAGCCTTTGTCCTCTATAGCCCAAATTTCCTAATGCGAGCAGGGTCTTGAGAGACTACTTTTCACACAGCTATTTGTCCAGACTCTTGGAATATGACCTAATTGGCGGCCAGAGATTCAAAATGTGATGCAAGAACTGTATTTCTGTTTAGCTTTGTTCATTTTGTATGTTATTCGGATTTAACTGCTCATTAAAAGTTATTTTATTCAATATTCACTGAAAACAGCCAGTAACTGAGACAAAGATATCCGTTCTTGCATGTATTCTATACAAGCTCAGCATTTAACTCCTTGTATATTTAAGAGTCCCACTTTTTTTCTCATATGAAAAATGAATGTGGTCTAAACTACTGTATTTTCTACTATTTTATTAGAACTCATTTTTCTGTTGTGTTCAACACATGCTGGGCTGCAGTAAGAAGGTGACCGACTACTGCTTAATAATTCAATGTCAGGATGGACTTCCCCCTTCTATTTCATTTGCGTTTCCCAAGACAAGGAATATTTTATTACTTACAGAACCAAATGGGACTCTAGATAATTCAAAGGAATCCCTGTTGATCAAGTTCTAGCATATGTATGTACACATAGGAATAAAAGGTCTACAAAAGCACTGGAAATAGACAGATTAATTTAACTACAATATGCAGTTAAAAGTTTTCAGTAACCACAGCTACTCTCTTAGCCTTGTAAACATCAACTCACAGAAGAGTTCAGTTTCAAAATCCATTACAAGAGGAGTAAGGTAAACAAGGATAATAATATCCCATTTTCTGTCTGTTCTTGCTTCCTCTTTCTGATATGCACATAAAAACACCCATAAAGTGATGTCAGGCTTTTTTAAAAAAAAATAAAGTATGACAAAATCAACATATCCATCAAAATATGATTTAATAATTTCCAACAATAGGATGTATATAACTGGCAGTAACTCAAGAGGAAGGGTCTTTTTTAATTAAAAGTTAAGCATCAATTTCTGGAATACAGTTTAATTACAACTTGCATGGAAATAATAGCTTTATTTTGCTTAGCAACATTATTTAAAAATGAGAAAATTTATTTAATGTGTTAAATTAATTTTAACAGGTTGTAATTAATTCTACTTAACATTAGGAAATATACTGCAACAACCTAAAGTAAGTTAATACAGTACTCAGCTTTTCCATGACGTTTAACAGGTGTCCAGAGAATCCTGAAAGATTTGAAAACCATATCAAACCTCTTTGTGAAGATTTGCCTTGCTAATGTAATATAAACTTCTGCCCATTAATAGAACATCAATTACTGGATAATTTGTGGCATTATGGAAACTTCTCCAAAACCTAACTAAATCTACAAATGAAGATTTAAAAATAATATTCCAATTTTCTATCATTTTGTTTCAGGCCCTACAATTAAAAAAAAAAAATTGTGCATCTAGAATGTGCACCTAGATGCAGAGTATTTTAGGAAAATACTATTCAGTCTGACATTTAACTGAATAGTTGAAAGATCTGAGGATAAAATAATCATTTAGACACATTTTATGTATCAAAATTAAACAAAACTATTCAATGGCTGCTACTATGAGATCTCAAAAAAACCCCAGCAACTATGGTATCAGCATCTTCAACTTGATAAGAACATATAATGACATTAGAAATAACCACTTAACTTACAATGCATTTACACCAACACTAAGAGAACAGAACAGTTATATTTCAAATTAGTATCACTTTAACTTAACTGAAGTATAAACTCTCACAGCTAGACAGGATAAAGTACATTTAAATACAAAATGGAAGATAGAGTATTTATTTTTGGCTCTGTCTTTACACTGTAGTGTCTTTCAGATCTACGTATCCATCACCCAAGTTCATGACAGAGAAATCTGATACTGTAAATTCAGGCATTATAAAAACTCTTACTTTGACTTTTTTTTTTAATGTTGAAGAACAGTGCTAAAATAATCAAACACAATTCATAATTTGTTTAGGGAAATGTAGGTCTATTGTCTTGGCGAACCTTATTTACATAGCGACTCGTGAACTCTTGTACGTTAAACAAAATTTCCTGAATCCCCAGTTATGCAACTAGATTAGCAAGACAATCATGTTTGCTAGAATACAGTATTATTTTTTTCCCTAATTTTTAAATCTAAAATTACACTATTGCTTTTTAAATTCAGAAGTTTACAAAAGAACCGACTTTTTTTACCCATGAGTAGATCATTATTGCTACATCTACATTACAAAGCATGAGAAAAAAAGCCCTAAAGAGTTCTTAAAGTAGGTGCATTCTTTTCCAATAGCCTGTTAAACTTCAGCTGTCTCAACCTGTAGTTATTGTTACAAATGCTCAATTAAGAAATGTTTGGAATTTATATTTATAAAGTAGTTAATATAGCTTCAGGGATACATGAAAATCCATACAATATGAACTGTCTGGAACATATGATGGGAATTTTTTTTTTCCTGAAGATTCAAAGGCAACATGCAAACCAATGAAAAGCATGCTTTTGCTGTGACGCATTCCCCCCATAAGTCTTACAAAAATTATACTATTGAATAATGTAAACATAAGTGTCAAGTTGCATCTAGAGTAACAGACCACACATTATGGAAGAACTTACAAGAAAAGATTGCCAAATTTCTGATCTGCTACTGATTAGTAGAAGAATGTTATGCATTTGTTCCTAGTTGTAATCTAACCTTCATGCATATTCAAAAGCTAGAGTATATGTGCATAGTAACAATAATCTTGCATGATGCTTCCTTACAGTTTCTTTAGTAATATGGGTCCTAACAAAGATAATTTCAGGAAGCTGGCAAATTCTGTATAATTTCACTACACAGAAAATATACCCAGATTTCAAAAAGAACAAACTTGTTATAAATTACAGCTCATACTTGTCCTTGGCCATAACGTAGTAATAGTAAACAAGGTACTCATCATTTTATATTGCTTCATACTTTGAATGCCATATTTCCTTCACATACTTATGTTTTACTAATGTTCCCCTTTTAAAAATGTATGAAGCTTTGTTGCTTTGTAGTTCACATTTATACGGCTTTCCTGGAAGAACGCAGAATACCATACTGAATGCCTATTGTGCAGAAATAACCCTGAAGGCTGTATCATAGCAGTATGCAGTAGAAAACCCTTACCAATTTTTCATCAACTGTGATGAGTTGCGTGTCTCGAGTTTGGTCCTGTGCCAGCCGCCATGTGGAAGTGCTCAGTGACCTGCGGTGCAAGACTTGAAGTTAAAAAATGATTCATGCAATGAGAAAATAGAGGCAGACAAATCTTACATAAACAAGTTACTTTAACAATATCCGTCTTGTAAAAAAAATTGAAGAGGGAGAGATGAGGGCACAAAAATCCTTTTTCTCCCCAATTAGTTCTGTCTGCTGAGTTTTTGGCAGACTCCCACTTAGCAGTTCACAACAGGCTGCACTTTATGTCAGCCTACAGGCTCTCTGTCACAGAGAGACTGCCAGTGGCAAGGACTGTACTGCTCTATATGAATGTACAGTAGCTGGTTTGTCACGAACAGACAGAAAAATATAAGGCTGCTGCAAGCACTCTGGAGCTCTGATCCTTAAAACGATGGCATCACAGGAAAAAAATCCTAAATCTGTTTGTAATGGTAAAGCTCCAGTTCTACACTTCAACAACAGAATATTAACAAAATAAAATAAAAAAACCCCAAAAAACAAAAACAACAAAACAAACCCTAAGCTGATACTTCAAACAACACTCTCTGATTTTGAGTGGGCAAAGCTCACAACTATTTTGCTTCATTTCTAAATCAAGATGGGCAGCTTATTAGTTTCCAAGAAACATGATTACTCTTCTTAAGTAATTATTAAACCTGTAGGTACAGATGGAAACAAAGGACTCACTTCCACAGCACTGAATTAAGAAGTAAAATTTACCCTTAATTCGTATTATGTCACTGGTGTCGGGATTGGGCCCTTTAAGTACAAATCATCTTTTGGCAAAATAATACAACAGCAAGTGAAACAAGCCAAAAAGCCCAATCCTCTGACCTGAAAGTGTGCTTCACGTTTAATGAAGGTAATTTTAAACAAATGAGGCACAAAGGTGCAAGAATATAGACAACTGAACAGTAGGAGGGACAAAGCCACTTTCGTTTCAACTGTTCTTCAGAAGATTACCTAATCTGGGAAGCCAGACACACTTACAGATGCAAATGAACTTTGAGATTTTTGTCTCTCAGATACTTACAACCACACTTCTAGTAATTTAACACTGTGGTAATGTTTACCGTGTTTACTTTACAAACACCACAGCTTTTATAGCCAAATTCCAAGACTTTCAGAAAATCTGCAATACTATCCAAACTAACCCGTCCCCACATAAACTATAACCGTTAAATAGTCAATAAACGTGAAGGGTGTCTCAGGACCAGATAACTTGCACACAATCATTCAAAATCTGTAGAATTAAAAAAGTGTATCTTCTACCACATTCTATTAAGCCAGGGAAAGAAGACCTAACTGGTGAAACAGTCTCCAAAACACATGCATCTACCATGTCTTCTAACCTCAAATCCCTCCCTAATTTTTCTCAATTCTGATGAGAATGCATGTGAAGATATGAACTTGATCATTTAATTAATCTAGTTTCACTGGATTTAACACATTAACTAAATGATCATTCAATTTTCAGGCAATATTAGCATGATGAAGTTTTTAGGAGGTAAAACTTACAGTAGAAAGGAATTTGAAATTCGTGACTATACAGAAAGCCACAAGAATCTTTTGAAACTAAGCAACCAGAACAAAGTTCAGTTCAGTAATATTTAAAATGCAGATTCCTACAAATCTAATACATATTACTCTCTACTAAACTACCTTCCATTTGCCAATAACAACTTCAAAAAATCTCCACATCATGAAAAACAAACTGAAAGCACAAGTTTTATAGAATCACCCAACTGTGACATGGACAGACCCATCTATTCCTATTTAAAAATCAAAAAATCTGTTGGGAAGGGTACTTTGAAGAAAAAAAGTGAAGTTTTCAAGTGCAAGGGAGCACAAGAATTTCACAAACATCAAAATGATAACTACTCTGTTAGCTCAAAATCTCTGTTCCACAGAGCTTCTGGCTCAACACAGCTGTCATTTTTTTAATTTGTACATGTAAAACAATACATCATAAAAACAGAATAGATAGATACTGCAGTATGCTACAAGAAGTGGCTCATCATTTAGGTTGGAAAAGACCTTTAAGATCATCGAGTCCAGGTGTCAACACTGCCAAGTCCACCACTAAACCATGTCCCTAAGCACCACATCTACACGTCTTCTAAACACCTCCAGGGATGGGGACTCAACCACTTCCCTGGGCAGCCCGTTCCAATGTTTGACAACCCTTTTGGTGAAGACATTTTTCCTAATATCCAATCTAAACTTCTCCTGGTGCAACTTGAGGCAGGTTCCTCTTGTCCTATCGCTATCCTAAAGGACTTCAGAACAGCAGCACTGCACTTGAGTTCCAGTGGTGAAATAGCTGAATCCACAAAATTTCCAACCTTAAGCAAGGCAAAAACATTGTAATAAGAAAATTAGTTTCTCCCCCACTCAGGAATTTTAGTATCAAAGTAATATTCTGCAGGTATTCTAGAATTTTATGTGATACAGTGTTCACCACACTACATAATATATGGCCACATAAGGACATTGGATTATGAAATCAAATTGGTCCTTTCTGGATAGAAATAATCTAAACTATGAAATCAGAAGTTCTCTGAACCTTGCTCTGTGGAGAGGTCTGATGAATAGGTAAAGATTTGAGTATGTGAGGATTTAAGTAATAAGGCTGATCAGAATCACACTTTCTCTTGTAATATAAATGGAATTCGGAATAAAATTTATGACAATTCAGTTTTGGTTTTTGTTTTTTTTGTTTTGGAAATGCATTGATCAGCTTTGAAAAGTATAAATGCCATGCCCTTGCAAAATTATTTCCACTCAGCATTATGTCATTTGGCATCATTTTTACTCAGACGATTGCTCATTTTTGAAATTTCTGTAATTGCAGAAAAAAGAATTAAAGAGATGTCATACCATTACAGTTAATAGGCAAGAGCAGCGTAGAAATCCCACCTGATTAAAGGTGGGCAGAATCTCTATCTGAGATGCCGCTACACTGCATAAAGAGGGAGCTGATTTTTTTTGCACAAGAGGGAGCTGGTTTTTTTGCACAAAATGTTTCTGTCAACTGGGATAAATTGCAAGGCATCAGACCTTACAGCTCTCCATGATGTTTTAGCTCTTCTTCTGCAAAAGCAGATGGACAGTTTACTAACCTAAGTCAACTGCTGCTCCTCTTCATTATTTTTCAAAGCCATTTCTCTTGACTACACCATTCTGGAAAAAGCCCAACTGTTACTGGAATTTGCAGCCTTGCACATTTCTTAAATGTCCAGCCTTCTGTCCATCCCTGGATTGCAATGAGTTGGAAAGAACATACTTTCCTTAAAAACTTCCTGTTTGAAGAGTGGTTGACAACTGGCATTTGGACTAGACTAGGAAAGTGAACTGTAAGTCCATGGAGGTGCCTCTGTGTAAAAATACATAAAATACCAGTTTTGCTTTAAAGATGACGGGCTGTTGATATTTCTATTTGTTGCACCCCTCATAGGAAAGTAACCTGGAACTTAGAAATACCAGCAACTCTGAAATATCATGTCACCTGAAATACTATTAACTTTTAAATAGTAGTAAGTGTTACTTGATTCCCAGAGCGCCTGTTTGATTTCCAACAGGCTTCATTGCAAGTTTGTCCCTAATGTCAGGCACTTAACTGAGGAGATAACCAGGAAACAGACCTCTTTCACAAAATCATCTCTTTTCAAACTCCCACAACAAGTATCATTTAATCACTCAAATTTCCCCTTAGAAATTATATAAACTTTACAACATTTATTTTACCTTCAAATCAAATGAATGTGCAATCTAAATAACTTAAGTGACCACTCCATTTAAACCTTTTATTCTGGTCTCAACAGTAAAGTAATTCTCACTAAATTCCCAATTAATACTTGCCTCTGCCCACATCCACCATGACCTTAGGTTGCTTTTATGACAGATAAACTTGCAGAAGTATAAAACACTCTTTTCACAGTTCCATTCTCACAAGGTTCTCCTCCTTTCTTCTACTACTGACCGCTGTAAAGGTAATCTGCTTCCTTCCTTTCTCTTTATAAGCAATATGGGTCCACATTTTCCTGTTTTGTCTCTTTTTTACTGCTTATGCATTTTTTTCCCTGTTGAAACAGCCTGGTATGAAGCCTTAAGAGATGGAAGTCTCATTTCTTACCCTGTACCAAGACTAATCAAAATCTGATTTAAAATTACTATACACAGAATACTTTAAATAATAACAAATAGATGAGCAATAAAACTCTAAAGTTCGGATACTATACAGAAAGTTTTACATGGAACAGCTAGCAACAATAAACCCTGTTATCTTCTAGGCTCATTAATGTCCCATTCAAAACATAGATCAGAAAATTTCATTCACAGTTACTATTTAATAAACAAAGTATGACAAGACTCCAAGCTGGCCACAGCTTCATTGTGGATCTGCCCAAACATGTTTCTTACAGTGAGCTTCCTAGTGACGAACAAATAAGCTTTTAAATTTAGAAGCCTGGGTTTATTAGAATAGTTAGCCTTTTAAAACCCTTCAAAATTATGTAGACAAAAGTAAAATTAAAGTTTATTAAAAAAGTCACCCATGTCCTTCATGATGTTGCAGATACTTTCCACAGTGTCCCACATTAATGTATGTGGCTAATGTAATCTGCAGCTTCTTGGATTATAACCAACCCTTCACAAAGTCTTCTAGTCCATAAAAAGTTTTTCTTTCATCAAGGACTCCTGGATATATGGCTGGTAAAGATGCCACACTTAGTCCACAGGGACTCAGACAGCAAAATTCTCCTCTTGCTGAAGTTTGTGTTTCTGGGCCTCTTCCTTTAGATGCATCTGGCATCACACTCCTCCTCTCCAAATATATTTCCTCACTCAAATTTCCTAGTCACTCTCTTAATGGAAGATTCCTTCTTTGTTCTCTACATGTTAGCCTGTCATGCAAATATGGAGGTGTGTTTCCACAAACATGGATAACTTGGCATGAATGTATAGCCGCTCCTTTGCCTACAGAGACCACCACTCAAACTGTAACTTGGTTCGCAATCATGGAAG